TGTTAAAGAGTCGCATGGACAACATTTCAAAAAACAATTTAGACGTATGACGGAGCTAAAAATCTTACTTCCGGGTTCCAAGTTTCAGAGAGTTTTTTTCGATCGTGGGTGGCTCTTCATGACGTAGACGAGGGTGGAACGCCTTATATGGGCATTTCTCCCAGATGAGCGCGCCAGAGCACGCATTGACCAGAGTGAGAGCGAGATCGCGCCCATCAACGCGCTTCATCCGGCGGCAGCGCTGCACGGGACTCGGGTCTCCAAAGAAGTGTGTTTTTGGTTGTAAGGGAAAGATAACTTTGTTCAGCTTCCTAAAGAACCCAGCGTTATGTAAACAGTGGATGCAGATTGTTTTTCCGGATTTTCAGCAAATTTTCATTTTTGAATGAATGAGGCATTTTATTTAGCGCTTTATTGTGTATTGCTGAACAACCAAAGCGCTTTACAATCATGTCATGGGATCTCTCCTCAACCACCACCATTTTTGGGTAAACTGGTCCTTTAACCCAGTCTGTATCTCAGTGTCATGCGCTTTGCTTGGCCATTTGTTGTGATAAACAGGAAAGTGTGTTCATGCGCCAGCAAAACAGTGTAAATAAAAGAAAAAAAAAAAAGATTAGTTTACCGCGGCTGCGGTCGCGTGAAGACCAAAGACTCTACCGTGCGACTCCACCGGGAAGGGACACGGCAAAGGATAAGTATCGCTTTTTATTTCTCCTCTTTCCTACTACTTGTTTCTCTGATCAGCACACGGTTGAGTCTGCGTTGTTCCAGGGTAATGTCTTTTCTCTGGTGACGGATTTCAAACCTCACCAAGTGATTGTATTCATTCTCCAGACTGGTGTATCACTCCAGATCTAAGACAAATATGCAGAAAACTTTTTTTTTTATCATGTTTTTTTTATTTTTATGTATTTAGTCTTTGTTCTTTTCAGCTGACATTGTAACACCCCTTGGAAGTGAACCCTGTTTCCATCATATTAATCAGCTTGACATAATGACAACTTGTTACTGTCATCCCACATGATCATCCCATCAGGAAGTGAACTCTTTAAGTGCACTCATTTGTATCACTTTGTTAACTTGTGAACACTGTTACCATTATTTCTTGCAGTTCACAACTTGTAGTGCCAATATAAACCGTAAAACCTTGTTACCCGTGGACAAACATATTTATACCCTAATATAGGCTATATTAACAGACATGGCTTCAGTCAGCAGCACATTGCAATTTAATAACACTTAAAACATGATTTTACATGCCAGTCACGTCCTTGACGCTGTGCTGTGGTTTGTCTTCGCGCTCCGGGAGCAGATCGCATAAATCTGCCATGTTGATGAGTTTTGTTCGAATAATCTGCGCTCTGGGAGAAAGGGTTTCCTCTCTGGAAATGTTGTCCTCATGTTGGTTTGACTCACAGGTTTTATTTCCCTGGCCTTTAATGACACTGCTCATTGTATCTGGGGGCAAAAAGTAACACTAAATTCAACCTACTAATTTGCAGCGAGCATGACGTCAAACATTTAACGGTCGAATGGCATCGCTTTGTGACGTAAAGTGTAATACTAATACTGAAAGAATGATCAAATTACATATTTATTTATTTTAATTTTTCATTTATTTATTGCATTTTTCAAACAGATCTGTCGATGTTAATAAACTGAGTGACTTGGTTGTGTGCAGTGACCAATACCTGTAGGCGCAGAAGGGCTCATTCCAACTATATCTTTAATGAGTCATTTCCCATTTAAATAATAAACTCAAAGAATTTTCCAAAACATAATTCCTACTTATTAATGTTAAGTGAAAATATTTACCCAAATATTCATTTACATTTTTTATAAATATTACAGTAACATTGGTTACTTAGCTTATAGTAGGCTATTTTTGTTACCGCTTACCTGCATAAATAAATAAATAAAGCTCCAATAGAAAATTAATAATCAATTAAAAATCCCCCTATTTTGATCTTGTTATGGTAATATGGCTATGCAGTGGGTATAGAAAAAAAAATCACCCCCTTTCAAATAATCATATTTTGTTGCTTTGCAGCCTGAAATGAAGACGGACACAGTTTGTTTTATCTGGCTGTATTTACTCAGTACAACTTATAACATCCAAGTGAAAGATATAACACCAACATGCCAGAGAAAAAAAAAATCACAGAGTTGGAAAAAGGATCAGCTCCTTGTGTCAGTATTGGTTGAACCATTTTGCTTTAATTACAGCCTTTAGGCTTTTGGAATATGTCTCTAACTTTGCACATCTAGACCTTGCAATATTTGCCCACTCCAGGGATTAAAGTTCCGTCGCTATATGTCATAAAGACAGTCACTTGCTTCATTCCTGAATGATTCAGCCGTTCGAACGAATCAATTGAATGAATGATTCAGTGATAAAATCAGTGACTTGCCACCACCTGCTGGCAGATTTAGTTTCATTTTTAGCGTATAATTTTAGTTATTTAAATCATATTTCTGTATTCAAAATTGTATATTTAAAACATTATTCTGCTATTTATATTTATATCATTTCTATTATTTCAATATGTATTCTTATTCTGCTTTAGAGTTGCTGCATTGATAAAGCCTTTGAATTTTTTTGTATCCATCTCGTGACTTGTGCCTGTCCACTTTATCCCGGAGATCTTTTGACAATGCCTTGCACCCATAGTTGATTGTTTGCTTCAGTCGCACTACCACGGACTGAAATGCTCCAGGAAAGCTCTTTTCATGCTGCACTAATCAAAATAAGCACCGCTGATCACAGTTGAAAGTCAAATGGCTTTGTGTGCCTTTGAGAAGGTGATTAGCTACACCTGATTGAGTTTACAAGTCGTTTTAGGAGGGGGTGATCCTTTTTTAGTGATTCTGTTTTTTATTATATGTTTGTGTTATATCTTTCACTTGGATGTTATAAATTGTACTGAGTAAATACAGCTGGATAAACAAAAACTGTGTACGTCTTCATTTCAGGCTGCAAAGCAACAAAATGTGATTACCGTATTGACCCGAATATAAGACGATGTTTTTTTTCTTGGAAATACATCTGAAAAAACGCGGTCGTCTTATATTCAGGGTCTAGACTTTGACATGTCAATAATACACCCACAACACTAGGTGGCGCCAAATACGCATAAAACGAGTGTGCCATGAACTACGTAATGTAATGCGTGTTGTAAAGATCGCGAGTAAAAACAAAAGAAAAAGAAAACCTTACAGCTGCACGAGTCGTGACTGTCACGTTACCCTGATGGGACCAAACTCCCTTTGTGATTTAAAAAGTAAGACAGTACCCAGATTTGAAGACTACAGTAAGATTGAACTTCTACTGTTAATAAGATTTTGGTAGGCTACTATTAGATGGATAGCCTAAATGTCCTAATTCAGATGGGCTACCTGTTTTTTTTTTTTTTTAATGGTATATCAAAAAGTGTATATTTGTTAAATGTGATTGTTGGTACATTTTACCAGTTTTTACCATAATTTCAAAACAAAAATTAAAATAGGAAAAATATGCAATATGAAAATAATTGAAGACAAAATGTGTTTTACTGAGAAAAAACAAGATTTGGTTTTTAAAAAGCCCTTTTCCAAAAGGTACATCTGGAAAAAGGGGGGGGTCGTCTTATAATCAGGGTCGTCTTATATTCGGGCCAATACGGTAATACAAAATATTTTTCGTCAGTGATAGAAAAATGATTTAAGACGGTAGTGTAAGCAAGTTTAGTTTGAAAACGTTTAATAGTAAATAAGA